AGCACAAGAAATCGGAGCTCCGGTATCTTCACAACTTACTTGGATCCGCAGTTCGGACGAGTTCGCGTGCAGGTGGGTCTTGGAGCGAATTCGTACATCTCGTCTGTGTAGCCATTAGAAAGCGCTTCACGATTGGTCAACGGCTGCACGGAACTATCTGGGTAAGGTGTTAACTCTGAGAATCAAGAAGAAACCTACGTGAAGCATTGGCATGATGCTGTCAATATTGTGCCACGGTGGGAAGCATCGTTCATCACTTGGCGGGTAATCCCTCTCGCGTTCAGTCCGGCTCTGAAAATCATAAATGACTCTAAAAACGCCACCTAAAACTGTAAAAACATGGCTAAGTTTGGTCTCCCTGGCCTATCCTATTTGTGAGCTTCTTGCAGGGACTACAGCATCTGTATTTACTCATATTATCATATTTGGATGGATCATATTATCTAGAAAAACCGTGCCGCATATTATCTAGCGAAGCCGTATCCAAACCAAATGTGATCGTTTTGCAGGAGACAATGGCTGGACTCAGCCTCACTGCCAAAGTCCTTCAGGGGACACAGTCGTTAGGGTACCCCCAGGAGGCCCGTCGCGCGACAAGAAGGCGAGTCAGCGGACGAGTCGCGCGCGTACTGTAGGGATTTCGCGTCAAGTTAAATAGAATGTTCCATTGTACGTCCTACATCGCTCACGCGCTGCGACTCGTCCGCGACTCTGCCTTCTTGCCGCGCGACGGGCCTCCTGGGGGGTACCCGAGTCGTTAGGTCCACCCGTGTGCTTGCTTCCTAGCCCTGCAGTGTGTGTTCAAGGCACTCTTGAGGCTTACGGTAATCTCACTAATTTCTGCCTTCCGCTAAAACCAAAGATTCTCGCTCCCAAACCCTCTTATATTCGTTGACTTCTAGTAGATAAAGTTGCTTCTTGAGCATGATACCTGCATTTTCTGCCTCCACCCTTCGAAGATTAAATCGATCATTGAGTGATGATAGAGGAAGACGACATCATTGGATGAGGAATGTGACTTTCCCATGTCACCTCCTGAATTCTAAAGTATTGAATGTGGTTGACGGTAACTCTCGAGTAGACATACCGATGTAGAAATGCACATAGTCGTGCGAATATTCAAGCATCCTTGAGTCCAGCGATAAATCGATCGGGCAGGTCTAAACGGCTCAATTCATTTTTGCTATATGTGAATATGAATGGAGAAAATTAGAGCCCAACCGTGAGCGGCATTGTTGCCCCGAGCACCATATTGATATCGGGATTGTTCACAATCCAGTCGACACGGGCGTTGTTCAGCAGCTCACCGGCTTCATTCAATGCAATCTCGCGAAGGATGCTCGCACGTCCCTGAAAGGGATCACAATCCGAAGGACTAGAGACATATACTCCCTTTCAAAAAACGAGAAGAGCGTCGGGTGCAGACCATACACCACAAGTGACGACGGCCTCCACAAAATGTAAATGTTTTCTGCCAATGAAATGATTAGCCTGTTGCAGTTGTATTCGGTCAGTTACACCAGTAAGGGGGGCATGTGATGTGGCAACTCTTGCCGGCTACAGAAATTCCACACCACATGCCCCCTCTTCCTCCTTACTTGGATGAAAACTTGCTGTTATTCTATCAGTTGTCACTAATTACAACTATCATTTACCAAAAATCAGCTATCACTATGAACCACTACTAATTTACTTGGAGGCCGTCGTCACTTGTGGTGTATGGTCTGCACCCGACGCTCTTCTCAATTTTTGAAGGGAGGAGTACTTCCAATCGCTTTACCTCCATTGTGGTCCAGTTCGCATATGGCCCTGTTACCACGAAGCCATCGTCATTGGCTTCGCCCAAGAACGTGTCGGTGAAAATCATAGAATCCGATGGTTCGGGAAGTTCGGCGTCAAGTGTGCTGTCCCAATAAGGAACACCCATATTGGGATCAGGTAGGTAGTGCCTGATCACAAGCTCAAACCTAAAAATGATTATAAAGAGAGACAAAGGCTTCGAGCTTGAGCTTTCAGGACATGCAGACCTGAATAAATGAAAACCTTTTCAGATATTCCCGATGCCAAAGAGTGAACGCAGGTCCTGAATGGACTCCCGAGTACTTGTGGACCCGAGCGATTCTGTTGTACAGGCCACTCACCTTCATCCAGTTGAGAGCCTTCTGTAATAAGTTGGTTGTTTTCGACTTGAGCAATCATTCTACCCAGATTTTTTCACCTCAAACTGCTTCCTTTTCTCGTCGTCCAGAGTTCGAATTTCCTGACGATGCGCTTTTCCTAAGATTTTCCCATCCGAAAGGACGCAGTCGTCCTTGTTAATAGTTCCTAAATCTTCTCTAAATCTGGGGGCTCTCTGTGTTGCTGCAGCTCAAACAACTTACCGTTGAAGTACGGACAGACACATCTTCTGTCCAAACAAGGCAGGTATTTTTCCTCGTGGGGAGTCCAGTCGGGGGATACAAAAACGTCGTCTTCTGGGACATAATGCTTACCGAATGCAGACGACTCCACGTCCTCTTCTTCAACCTGAAATATCTTCCTTAGCGATTGAGATGTATTCCTGGAAAGCGAAGATGGTCCGGTGCCAGATAGCGCGTTGCGCATAATGTATGATCAGTGGTCTTGAGAACAAATCCCGGATCAATCCTCTCCCAAATCAACCACGTCCTTATTTTTCTGAAATCGGTTCCAAACATCTCTGGAAGTACACCGACCCTACATTGCACCTGGCTAGGGGCTATTGCAGGTGACTGCATGGTTTTCACATGCCTACAAAAGCTACTACTCTGAGGTGGAAGGTGTGCTGTCCCTGAGCAAGGTCGGTCATTGCCAAGCCATTCATTTCTACATATTCATTCATACAGGGGTTATTCATGGTGGGAAATCAGCTGGCGACATTAGAAAAATCCCCAGTGTGCTGCTTTTTCCGGAAATGCAAAATTTTGAGGTGACCTTATAATTGTTCCATAATATGATGTCGAATGCGCTTGTGTCTAACTCAGTCTTTAAGGCCGGTAAGAGCTCTTTTTGAGACCAGGAGCATACTTTCATCACGGTCATCCTTTGCCCTCCAGATAAAGATAGGCTCCGTACCCCGGTGCATACTGTTAAAGGCAAAAGTCGGGCTCAATAAGGGGGGTTTATGGCGATTGAAACTGAGTATAGAGATGCGAAGTGGAACGACAGTGGAGAAAAAACTGAGAAAAACCGTCGACAAGGCCGTTAACAAAACCCTCTTTCCCACTAGCAGTGAAGGAGGCTGGCTTGGGAAAGAGGCACGTACAAACAAGTTTTCTGGAGATGTCAGTCGTTCTATCGGTTGATACGGCAATCAACCTAGCTGATTTCACACGTTATGCCAGCCACGCACCACTTCCGGAGGTGGGCGGTCCTGGATTGACCAGGCGGCCCTGGATTGAAACCGAACGCCCCGGGGCCTTAACGGGGTTTTTCAAGGTGGGAAGTTGCTGCAATGTGTGCAGCTACCCACATACAACCTCCAGGCACGGGAATTACTTCTCTAGCGTGCCTGAGCCCGACCTTTTGCCTTTAAGGTGGACCTTGCAAGTAAGCTGTAAGTGGTCAAATCTGGCAGCAAATGCAAAGTCAATACAAACATGAGGCTAACTGATATATCGCCTGAGCGTTTTCTAATTTTCTCCGGAATTTTGCCCATTGAGATAAACGGATAACCTCATCATGTACAGGGGGGAGGTTGGGGGCCAGAAAAAGAGTCACTTCCGCCGTTAATTAAATTTCTTGTCGTACAGGATACTACTGTTGATGAATGCTGTATAGAATATACCATAGGCGTCCCCCCCATAAGCAGAAGCAGTATATTCTACCTCCTTTCACTGCCCCACCGTCTTCAGAATATGACCTCATCTGCCGTCACCGTCGAGCTCAACGAGGCTTACCGTAATCGCTCCGGCCTGAAGCTGCTACATAATTTCTTCAATGGATTGACTGGTGAATAGCTTCTCAGAGACACTAGCTGTGACTGTGCAAGACCGCTTTTGACCAGCGTTTCAGGGACGTCGTAATGGTCTATGGTACCTCGACGACCTCGTTGAGCTCGTACCGTGAACCATGTTTCCGTGGGAATATCTTCTGATGCTGCTGTGTCGTCGGTGTAGACGGCTGATGATGATGAGGCTTTTTGATGGCACTAAGATGTGCCCTTGAAATATCCAGCTGGACTCATTTTTGTTGTTTGGTCTTCGCCAACGCGTGATATTAATCGTGTTTTTTGAAGTGTGGGAGAGAAGTGACGTCTTTTGCCTCCCCCCTCCACTGTGCATGAACATTCTGGACATCTCGTAGGCGCCACATTTAAGGGTACATCTTCCCATTCAGATTTTGTTATCCCACTTCGTGAGATCTTTGACTAGCTCACTCAATCAGGAGACTACATTGGCCCACGGTTGGAGTGCCTTCAAGAGCGACTGCTAATTCGGACGTCCTTCATTCGAATCATATGAGAGATGCAGCAATTCCCTATACAGCGCTTTGTCAAATTGGGCTTTCCCGGACCAAACATCACTTTCGCTCGTGAAGTCAGCCGGAGGAGAGAGTGAAGGCAGTTCTACCTTGGATGACGATCATGTTCCACTCGAAACCATGGCTGCTCGAAGCGTTCGATGTATTTCTTATTGCCGATTTGATACCGAGTTTCGGTGATAAAACCTCTAGAATTCGAAGCAATAGAAAGCAAACAGACGATGGTGGTCAACAGCGAATCCATGGAACTGCAATGGTGAGGGTTTATAAGAACTGTCGGTGCGAAATGAGTGCGCGATTACCTGCGAAGTTAAACAATTTTATAAGTAATAGTATGTGTGAAGCAGAGGAATGGCTTGAGGAAGTGCAATCGAGCGGGAATACTCCGCGGTAGAACAAGTCTATTCTACTTGTAGTGACAGATCAGACTAGAAAAACTCACCACAACTACATTGTTCGCTTTGTTCGACGCCAACATCCAGTAGTCTTCCTCCTTGCCCATCACCAACTGGGTCGCAATTTTTTCCCAAAAAGGCTGCTCGTTATAATGCAGTAGCGCAACTCACGCGCATTAGTCGGGCTGCACCAAGTTTGCTTCATTACAATGGTTACTGTATAAGCAGTGTTAAACAAAATCGAGAACGAAAAATGCAATAACCGGCGACCATTCGGTTAAGAGCTTGTCAGCTTCATGATTCGCTTTCGATCGGTACACTAAGCCGGCTCACCACTTAAAGAGGAGCATAATCGACAAAGCTTGGAGTGGAAAGTGAAACAAAAGGATAAAGGATAAAGCATTTGCCGTTGATCAATCCCTTTTTGGGATGCGGCACGCATTCTACTTCCATTTGTACATTCGTAGTGGCGTTTGAATGCGATGTGGCCTATACAATGACTTGCGGGGGCCAGCCGATGTACAAGTCAGTGTTTTTATCCTCCCAGACAAGTCTGGTACCAATTAACCGACCCCGGAGGGATGGAAGGCTTGGTTGGCCGGGCGACTCACGACCCAGGATTTGATCCTCGGACCGCTCGCGTGGGTTAAGTGCCGCTGCCACTGGCAAGCTACACGACTGTCGCTTCCCAACACGGCTTTGGTAGTCTAATGGTTAAACTTGTTCCTATAAACCGAGTATTCCAAGTTCGAATCCTGGACGGCTGAGTTAAGAACAAGATGTTTTACGCATAACCCAGCTACCCTTGTAACAGCTGTTAGTCAATGTTGCAGGAAAAGCAAAGGCACAATGCTCCTGCTCTAGTCTTAGATGGCTGGAGGCCGGATCGTATTCCCGCAGTCAAACATTACTGTATTTATGTCTATTTAGTTTAATTATTGTTTATTGTATTTATTTTCATTGTATTTAGTTAGTTTTATTTATTTAGTGTGGAAGTAAACCGGGAAGGTGGCGCACATAATGGGAAGAGCAGGAATTCGTGAAAAAAGCTCAACAGTCCCATTATACGACGAAAAAAAAGAGAGAAAAGAGACAGAAAAAGAAGTTAACGATAGAGGAATAACAAGCAGCTAGGCGAGTAGCATGGAAGAAAGAACAGATAACGGAGATGCGATGGAAGGGCTTCAGGTCCTGCACGTAGCCGGCAATAAAAGCCGCACTCACCATCGCGAAGACGAATGGGTGGGCCCATAACCATGATCCTGCCTTGTTCTCGGGACGCTTTTCAAGGTCAATAACGTAACGATGGCTGTGCAGGCCAAGCTTAAACCCACGGACTAACTGAGTTAGTTTTGGGACTTCAGAGCGTTACCACTGAGGAGGGGCTCAAGGTAAGAAGTCAGAATCAACTTTCAAGACACTGAAGCGACTAGAGACCACTTTCTTGACCTGTTAAACATGATAAAATATTCTGCAGTTCAATCCTCAGCACAGGCGTGCCACACTTGAGGCAGTCTTCTGACGGCTGGAGAATCGAAATAGTGATTGATGCGAAATCGGTTTCCGACGAAGGTGGGGGTCGCGCCTTTATGGTGGAACCTACTTGGGATGATGTAAGAGTCAGGCCAATTGACTTCTTATTCGAGGTTTTTGGTGCTACTACAAGTAGGGTGGGGCAACATCGCATTTTTGATTGAACTGAATTCCTATGGTAAGCGGGACTTGCATGCTACTATACTGTCCCGGGAGGGGAAAGGCGTAAGCCAGGTGTAAGCCAATCTAGGAGGGGGTGGGGTGAGCAGGATCAACCCTACGATTGCTTACGAGTATAACAACGGGGGTGTGGTGCGTACCGGGCGTTGAGTTTGTACGGAGGTGGGTTTGTCGGCGGCGGGTGCTTGGCGTGACCCACTTTAGTCGCTGGCGAAATTGAGCAGTGGGAGGGAGGTGGAGGAAACCGGAGATTTCGTGGTAGTTAGGTTGTGCGAGTCAGAGCTGCGCAGAGTTGAAAAATGTTGCCGGTTTGCAGCCGGGGCGTAGATATAGGGCCGGCCCCTAGAAAAGGAAACAGTGAGATTATAGGGAGAAATTGGGCAAATTTGGTGGAAAATTTAGGGAATTGTGGGAAATTATGGGAAAATTTTTACTGTTTCAGAGGGACTATATACCCCCCGCTCGACGGCATTTTTGGAGGAAAAAGTGGGCGGAGTTTTGAGGGTTGAGTGGTAGTGGAAGTTAATGTTATAGAGAGGAATATGGTGGTCGAGGTGTCGAAAAGGGGGTCGTACCAAATCCACCTTGGGGAGGGGGGTCGTAAAAATTTTTCGAAAGTAACAACGATAGGGTTGACCCCCTGGGGTGAGGGCAGTCACTTGACATTGCGTTCAAAGCTGGGGGTGACCACCCCACTTGTATAGAGCCCGAGTGCTTCTCAACAGCCAGAAGACAAAACTAGGGCGGGGGAGATTTAAAATAAAAATATTTTTCATAACTTATAGGAATTGGTAAAGAATGTGGATGTGAAGATGCATAGTGTGAATATATACGAGTAGGTGCAGCGCCAAGACGATCAAGCTCAATGACGTCAACCCCGCTTCATTCCAAAGTAACAGATAGGCTAACTCGAGGAATATTTTGAGAACTTGAACAGGGCGCGAGCGCTGCTCGCTACAAAACCATTTGATATTGAGGAACTAACGTAAGCGCATGGTGCCTATAGCCCTCAGCTTTCCAACACGCTGCATTTTGAGCTGGCGGGCGCAGCCTAATTGCGGTATTCGTACCCTGCACATCCCGTCGAATGTCGGCTCAAGATTTCGGATGAAGGATTTGCAGATACAATTATTTCATGTTGATATTCGGAGGCCCACAGGTACCAATGGAGCCCGTGAAAATCACGTTTCTTTAGAGCCCTCATGAAATGATGGAAAATCGGCCCAACAGGCTACGTATGCTACCGTAACACACAGGACGTCTACCTATCACGTCAGAGGATCTCTGAAAGTGGTAAGATTTTTGATCGTCATGCTTAGAAAGATCTCAAAATCAATAGACAAATCTTGTAACAGTCCTTGTAGTGCTAGGACTATACATCAGTTCTTATAATATATTATAGTGCGATAATATTAATATTTGTAAAGCATTATGAAAAAGATATAAATAATTTCGACTAAGCTAACCATTTCAACCTTTAAATTGTACTCAATATTCAAAGAACGTTATAGATCATGAAAGAGAAAGCAATTCGAAACAGATGTTGCCCTGGTAACGTGACCGCGTGTAACAGCAGTCTGACAAAGTCAGCAATGACGGCCTCTACAGGTATCGCTTCTCGGCCTTTTGGCTAAGATCAAAGTTTAGTTTCTGTTCTTATCGAATTAACCTTCGATAGAGATTCGAATGAAGTCTCGTTAAGGTTATTTGATTTTTGAGACCGGACGAGGTTGTGGGCTTGCTCGCGCACCTCGTCACGGGTCGGCCCAGCGTTGCACTGCTGTTGGGATCGGCCCACCCCTCTGGGGGAATAAGAATGATTGAATTGGAAATGGAAACACTGCCTTGAATGTCAAAGGAAGAATATTATTGATGTAAAAAATGCAGGATTTCTGTCGGAACGTCAACATACATGTGAATTAGGGCTCTGATCTCAAAGCAGACAGAAATACGCTGCATCAAGTAGAGTGGCTATGACTGTCAGTTTTATCCGCTGTGTGTTTGTGTTCACCAACTAGCCGTGCACTTCAACTTTATTCTCTGGCTCCTATGCATTTAATCGAGAAAATCTTTCGCCTTTTACTAAAGATTTCCGTGCACAGGTGCAATCATGAGTATTGAATAATTTTTGGAATCCCCTCGAAAGAGCGGGATACAAATACGCTAGCACTCCGCCTGAGAGGCGAGTGGAGACTCATACCATTAGTGACGGCGGCCTCCAAGTAAATCTGGTAACTAGTGGTTCATAGTGATAGTTGGTAATGATGGTTGTAATTAGTGACAACTGATAGAATACAACTGCAACAGGCTAATCATTTCATTGGCAGAAAACATTACATTTTGTGGAGGCCGTCGTCACTTGTGTGTGTGGTCTGCACTCAACAAGCATCTGGCTTTCGGAAACAGAAGGTACATATGAGGAAATAGATCAACAGGCCATTCCAGGTCCATTAAATCAGGCACTGGGCTTTCAGCTTACCTAATCTCTTTCATTGTTTTCGAGCAGGCTTAGCATCGATTTATTTTGCTTTACTGATCACACTCCAAGAATTCGGTCGACACAGTGCTCGAAAGTATGCATTGCAGAAGTGGTCTCTAGATACTCTTGTGCTAAAAAAAATTGTCCACGGAAAATCATGATTCAATCTCAACCATAAATCACTGGCTTGAGACCCATCATTCACGATAAGAACGAAAAGAACAAAAAAATTGTGTTTGTTTTGGTAAACAATTCGAAAAACCCGAAGGACTGCTACGCGTTCAAATTCCCGCCGCACATCTGTCACAAATGTTGGCGACGGGAATGATTCCACTTGGTTCTTGGAGTGCCTTCACTAGGAACTCTTTTTGGCCTTTTCCACTGGCAGCACTTCTTCCCATGCGTTTCCTTGTCTTCGCCCGACCTACCCTCGACGACATAGAGTGCGGTTTTCGTAAGTTGTTTCTCCTTGAAAAATGAATCTTCTTGTGTGAAACTTTGTACGTGCTTCAGTGATCACAACTGACACATTCATGTTGGGGAAAATTTAAGAATTTTTTGGGGACGACCTCTTTCTTTAAGATCCCCACCCTCACCTAGCAATTCTGCACCTGAAAGGCAGACAGCAGTCGGTCAGTACAGTCACACATGTTTATTACAGACTTAATACTATCGTTTTATTTATCCAAACAGAGGATTGTTTAAATACAACATTCTTCAGGTTAAATATTCAACAAATTCTGACTGTAATGTGAACAAACACAAAATATCTACCCTACACCCGGTGATTCACTTACATGTACAAACAACTGGGCTTGATATTGATTGGAATCCACAACAGATCATCTTTAAGAAATGATCAACATTTTCGGAATTATAAGTTTTGAGATATATGCCACATGAAAAACAAGTAAAAGAGAAAAATAGTGTAGATTTGAAAATCTGTACAATAAATAATAAGAACAACATTCTAAGTAACAAGAAAAGATCTCTAACTGTAGTTGTCCGGATCGTAGTTTGGCGAATAAGGAGATGAAGGTGTGTACTAAAAATAGCCAATATTAAATTTTGAAAAACCATAGAAAAATAGAAAAAAAATTAAGAAAGTGACGTGGCATTATTTATAAAACCTACGTTGGGAGAACTGGGGCTGTACTGCGGAGAGCTTGGGCTGTATTGAGGTGATGACGGCGAGTACTGCAAAATCAAGTTTAATATGGAAATTATGAAGCCTACTACGTGTAGAAAACAGCACTAAACGAACCACTGGTGAGGCTGGATTTCCTGACGGAGTGTACTGTGGAGAGCTCGGAGAGTACTGAAAAATACGAACATAATAAAATTGAATTCAAATGAGTATTTTGAAAAAGGCGAGTACATCTCAAGGTAGAAGCAAACTGCAGAAGCAGAAACAACCGGTACCTGAGGGCTGCTTGGGGTGTATATGGGCGAAGTGGGGCTGTATTGCGGGGAAGACGGCGAATATGACGGCGAAGCATCCGGACGCGGAGAGCTGGGAGAGTATTGCGGTGACGACGGAGAGTACTGAATAATATAAATAATCACTCATGAAACGGTCCTGCAAAATAATCATTAAAAGTTAGTATCCCTCGGGCAAATTCATTCGACTCCTCGCCTTAGTTATTCCGACAAATTAGAATAACGATGTTTACGATTTTTTTCGAACTGTTGAATATTGTGGCACTAGCAGTCACGGAAAAATCAAAGTTGTTCTGGGCGACATCCTATGCGCTGTTGGGTTGTGTGTGTTTTTTTTGTTTCGATTACAACAAAACCACATTGAAAGAAACAAACGACATGCTGATGATAAGATCCCCTCATTGATATTGTTGTGTTTTGTTCTTCCTATCGGTTATTTTTTCTTTTTTTCGTTTGTTGCAAATCACTTATTATGTGGCCTTAGCCTTGTAGTTGGGAGTGGAAATCAACGCAGAGCTCTCTATAGTAGATTTTTGCTGGCTATTAGTTTGTTCACAGATTCAGACAGTGATTATACCACTATCTTTGCAGGTGTCGACTATGATGGGAATGTACGGAGGTCTTGGACAGTTTGGTACAGCACACAGTCCTGCTAGGTTAGTAGAACAATTTTAGGACTGTATCAAAGACGTGATTATTTTTCGATGCTTTTCTGAAATTCGTTTTAGTTCTTCAATGTCTCCGGTGTCTACCCCATGGAATGGAGGAATGACTCCCGGTTATGGAGCAGGCTGGTCGCCAATTGGAAGCGGTATGACTCCTGGTGCCGCAGGATTTTCACCATCAGGGCATTCAGAAACCGGAATGTCTCCTGGATACGGAGGGTTCGTACTCAACGATATGTTTGCTCAATTTTGGATGCTACGACTTTATTCAATTGATGCATAATTATGCGCTTTTTGTTTGTGGTTAATGTTCTATCATTACAGGGAGGGAGGATGGTCACCAACTTCACCTGCTGATCCTCTGGGAGGCATGTCACCATCAGGAGCCACACCACGTTATGGAGGTGCCATGTCGCCTGGTTACTCCCCAACCAGTCCGAATGCTTTTGGAGCACAAAGCCCGAGCTATTCTCCTACTAGTCCTCATTATTCTCCAACGTCTCCTTCCTATTCGCCAACGTCACCAAGTTACAGTCCAACGAGTCCAAGTTCGTGTTTTTTTTCGTACTGCTGAAATACTTCGTTTACTTTTTTGAAAATTGTATTTATAGGCTACTCTCCCACATCTCCATCGTATTCACCAACCTCGCCATCATATTCACCCACATCGCCCAGCTACAGTCCAACTAGCCCTAGTAAGTATTTTCCTGAGACTTGCATCCCCTTACTTATACATGATACTTTATTCCTCCATTTGCTTTTCCAGGCTATTCTCCCACCTCTCCGTCGTATTCTCCTACGAGTCCGGGCTACTCTCCGAGTAGTCCACGTTACTCACCAACTTCACCAACATATAGCCCCACAAGCCCAACGTAAGTTAAAAACGCTTACGCTCTGAGCTGACTCCGCTACTAAATAGTGTCATTCCAGTTATTCGCCGACATCGCCGACGTATTCGCCAACATCACCAACTTACAGTCCAACAAGTCCTAGTTACGGTGGCAGCGGTTACAGCCCATCAAGTCCTCGGTATGTTGCTTTTCTTTTTATATTTATAAGTTTCTTTTTCCTGTTTCAATCTGTCATGCTTCACAACACTTTTTAGGTACTCTCCAACATCGCCAACATACTCACCTACGAGTCCTACGTACAGTCCGACATCGCCGCAGTACAGTCCAAGCAGTCCTCAGGTAACTTTTAATGATTATTTCACAGGACCCTATTACATGAGTGATTATTTGCATTATTCAGTACTCTCCGTCGTCACCACAATACTCTCCCAGCTCTCCGCGTCCGGATGCTTCGCCGTCATATTCGCCGTCTTCCCCGCAATACAGCCCCACTTCGCCCATATACACCCCAAGCAGCCCTCAGGTACCGGTTGTTTCTGCTTCTG